CACATCCGCCCCAGGTAGCCAGCCAGAGTAGTAGGCCTCGGTGCTTCCCTTATCTAGGAGAGGTGGTCGTCTCGGTACCCACGACCACTTAGCCTGATGGTGTAGGTGTTCGTTCTGGTGGTCGTGTTCATCCCCAGGTAAATAATATACCGTGGGAATCAGAATACGTGTAATTTTTTCATGGTTTCCAGTGGGTCACCCTATGAGGCCTTCATTATGTTTGGGTGTATCTTAAGCCTTCTTGTGTATGTTATCCCGGTCTGTGTTGTCTCCGGGTGTCATATGACGGGGGCTGTGGTTGGTGAGACCCGACAGGTCACCTTCTCAAGTGTTCTAACCTCCTCCTCCTCCTCCTGCTGTTGCTGCTGCTGCTGCTGTCAAGCGAGATGTCACGGGTTCGATTCCCGGGCCGGTGGAAAAGTTGTTTGGACATACTTCCTAGCCCCCATTAGTCCCTGTTCACCTAGCAGTAAAGTAGGTACCTGGTGTAAATCGAAAGTTGCGAATTCGTATTCAGGGAAAGTTGTTGGAGCTTCCAATAACTTGATAACAAAAACCACTGACTCTTCAGGCTTCTACTCCCTTGACCCTTCAGGCTTCTACGCCCTTAACTCATGAGACATAAGGCAAGCATGAACTTAGCATGCTTCCCTGTTGGGCGCTGTAAACGCTTCTGCGCTTCACTTTACACAGGATGTAGGGGAGTGCCCAATAAAGAAAAAAAAAACTGTAATCTTCGAATCTCCCCTCCTCATCTTCCTCCTCCTCCTCCTCCTCCTCCTTCCATCTTATCATTAAGCCCCATCCTAGTCGTCGTCGTCCTCCCTCTCATCGCCTCGTCCCCCCTCCTCTCCTTCCCCCTCCTCTCTCTTCCCCCCTCCTCTCCTTCCCCTCCTCTCATCCTTCATCTTTCTCCTTTTCCTACTTTTCATTCCGCCAATTTTCGTCTCCTTTATCACCTTCAGCATATTGTCTCCTCCCCTTCCCTCCCCACCCCACTCATCCACCACACCACCCCACTCATCCACCACACCACCCCACTCCGCCACTACACCTCCTTCAAGCGGTGGTGTTGTAACAGTCGAAATGAATTAATATTATAGCAATCGGCGTGAGGTAATGTGTCCTTAGTAATTTGACTCGTGGTGAAAATTTTCGCGTTAGTAATGGTGATAGTTTTTGTTGATGTGGTGCTGGTAGTAGTAATTTATGTGGTAGTGGTATTAGTAGTAGTTGTTGTTATTGTTGTAGAGTAGCAATAGTGGTAGTAGTAATAGTGGTGGTAGTAGTAGTAGTTGTGGTGGTTGGAATAGTCTTAATAGTAGTGGTAGAAGTGCTAGTACTGGTAGTAGCAATAATATTATTAGTGATAGTAACAATAATAACGGTAATAGTAGTTGTTGTGGTAGTAGTAGTAGAAATAGTATTATTAGTGGTATAGTGTAGCAGCAGTAGTAGTAGGAATGGGAGGAATGGGATTGACTAATCCAGTGAAGCTTGTCGCCACAGAACATCAGAACTCTGTCAAGCTCACGGCAGCCCTCACTGAGCACACAATAGATCAGAATGCAGCAAGTCAGGTGGATACCAACGACAGAACGGCCACCAAAGTGATAAACTGCACCAACTGATGCAGCAATTGCCAGAGAACTTGAAATAAAAGTAGCTATAGCGCAGGAGGTGGGCGCCTCGAACTGGCAAACAACGTTACCAATAAGGGCAAAAGGTTTCACCCTTAATAAACAAGAATTCACAGATGCCATTACTCTAAGGTACGATCGGCCAGTAGGCGGCTTGTCCTCCCAATGCGTGTGGCTCATCTTATGACATTGACCATATCATGTGTAAGAAAGGGGGCTTCGTATCCATGAGGCATGCCGAAGTAAGGGATCTCACAACAATTTTACTGAAGGAAATCTGCCACGACGTCACCGTGGAACTGACCCTCCTTCCATTGGACAGTGAGAACCTCCATCACAGGACTCCCAACACATCTAACGAGGCTTCGTGTGGAGGGTCAGTGCTCGGAGTATGGACGCAGGGACAGTGAGCCTTCTTTGATGTTAGGATATTCGACCCCATGACCGCATGTCACCGTAACCTGCCTCTTGAGGCTGTTCACAAGAGGAACGAGAACGACAAGATTAGGGCATACGGAGAGAGAATTCAGAACGTTGATCAAGGCAGCTTCACCAATGTTCACCACCTCTGGCGGGATGGGACCAAGTGCGTGTAAGACGCTTCTACGCAAGACTGGCGGAGGTGTTGGCTGAGCAGATGCAGCAGCCCAGTCGTTGCAGCCTGGTTGAGATGTCGACTGTCCTTCTCTCTGCTTAGGTCTGCATTGCTTTGCCTCAGGGGAACGAGATCGTCGGTCCCAAAGCCAACAACAGTCGCAGATATTGACTATGAGGCAACAGTCACTGAATGCCGCATAGATCTGCTGCTTAACTAAATCAACACAGCTAGGGTAGCTACTTTTGTATTAGGATATTTAATTTTAAGGCAATCAAATGGCGGTGTAGTAGTAGTAGTAGTAGTAGTAGTAGTATAAAATATTATATCGGGTGAGTAGTTAATTGTGTGGTGATTTTCGGTTAAATGGTGATAGTTTTGTTGGCTATTGGGGGAGGCTGGAGGCCAAAAAAAAAAATAAAAATAAAAATAGTAGTAGTAGTAGTAGTAGTGAGAGTAGTTGAACTCCTATGTCGAGACTTAACTCAGTGTATAATTTCGTTTATTTTCATTTAATAAGTTACTCAATATCGCCTATGATGGACCCCTCCCCCCCCCCTCCCACACACACGGGGCGCGGCAGGGAAGACACACAGAGAGGAGAGAGAGGGGGGTGGGGGGAGTTAGGGAGGGGGTGAGAATGCAGTTTTAAACCCAGGCGAATTATAAAACTTGGTATTTTTGTTTTAAAAGTAAGTTTTCTCCTTCAAGTAACTGGATCGTAAAGATATTGAAAAATGTTATTACCTTTGTAAGCCGAAGACAGTTTTAGGCGGGTTATGAATATTAATGGTGGGGGGAGGACGGGTGAGGGAGGGGAGAATGATAAGGGAGGAGAGGGAGGGAGGGCAGGAGACGGGTGAGGGAGGACTGGGCAGTGATAAAGGAGAAGATGGGGTTAGAGAAGGAAGGAGTGGAGAGAGAGAGAGAGAGGGAAATAAAGTCGTGAGAGAGTGTTGCTGGCAAGCTTAGATTAACATAACACATCCCAGCTTAGCATAACAGGTCTTCACTCTATTGTGGTAAATAAACTACAGCGAGATCTGCTGTCAAGAGTAAAACACAGTAGTGGCGTTACCGTGGTGTGTGTGTGTGTGTGTGTGTGTGGTGTGTGTGTGTGTGTGTGAACGTTAACCTTTTGTGACCCTACGTGACCTTTCTCAAGTAATCACAACAATACGTCCACAGTGACCTTTTAATTTTTCAGTTATTGGTTTAGTGAGATTAATGAATGACTCGACCCTTTTAACCATCGATGAAGTTGGTGGGTTTCACACATATTATTAACTATTGTATTATGGGTGAAATGGGTGATACATACTCGTCACCTGTGTAATTACTAAACGTTACTTGAATCGTAATTAATATTTTGATGTTATATGGTTTTCACACTCTGTGTCATATCATTAATAATACAATTACCTGTTATATTGATTTTAATGAATTATTTACTCTAATTTAGTCATATCAACGAGAGAAGACCTGGAGAATGATGTCTGTCTGTCTGTCTGTCTGTCTGTCTGTCTCGAAAACGTAAAATAGTGTTAACGCCTCAATCTTTTAACACACTACTGCCTCATGTGGACCTCCAGTAAGATTATTATTTCTCTTCAATGTTTCGATAAGTTACGGTCGCTTTTGCATCTCTAGTGGTGATACGCGTCCAATGTTATGATCCCGTTGGCTAAGAAACAAGAAAGGTCGATGACTTAGCGTGTAGATATAAAGGCCATTGAGGTAGGACAGGAAATCTTTGGTTTTAATTCATAGGCATTTCATGTGGATTCAATATCTATAGTGACTTTGTAATTGAAAATATTTGTCTAATAGTTAAAAGAAGTTACCTGATCATAATTTAGTGTTGGGGGGGCTCTGTGATTAGTGTTGGGGGCTCTGTGGATTAGTGTTGGGGGCTCTGTGATTAGGTGTTGGAGGCTCTGTGATTAGCGTTGGGGTTTGTGATTAGTGTTGGGGCTCTTGTGATTAGTGTTGGGGGCTCTGTGATTAGTGTTGGGGGGCTCTGTGATTAGTGTTGGGGGCTCTGTGATTAGTGTTGGGGCTCTGTGATTAGTGTTGGGGGCTCTGTGATTAGTGTTGGGGCTCTGTGATTAGTGTTGGGGGCTCTGTGATTAGTGTTGGGGGCTCTGTGATTAGTATTATTTTAGTTTCGGTCATCCGGGGAATCTTAGGAATTTAACCATTGGAATCAGTCGTCCCCCAACAGAAAGGGGAGGTCTAGGGGTGAAACCTCCTCGGTTAGGTTAGATATAATTCCTGGGTTCTGTGTCTAAGTTAGGTTAGGTTAGGTTAGGTTAGGTTAGGTTAGGTTAGGTTAGGTTAGGTTAGGTTAGGTTAGGTTGGGTTGGTTAGGTTAGGTTAGGTTAGGTTAGATATCCAAACTGTGTTTTTCCGACGGTTTTTGATGTGATTTGAATGAGTTTGATCTTTATATCTGTCGGAAATCATCAGTTTTTGTGATTTTTCCCCCACCCAAAACCCCGGGTTCCCACTGAGGGTCCCCCATTACTGTTGGGCAAGTGGATGACCCAAACTAAAATTTTACCTTTTGACGAGTATTGAGGCGATAAGTCACTTGATTTATGACCATTGTTTAACATTGTGTTTTATTAACGTGGTTGTGTATTATTATTATTATTATTATTAATATTATTATTATTATTATTATTATTATTATTATTATTATTATTATTATTATTATTATTATTATTATTGTAACTGTATATTTCTCTTGTTTCCTCCTACAGACAACAGAAGAAGTACGTGTGGCTGGCGCTGCTGGGGCTCCTGGCCGTCCACGCTGTCAAGACACACGTCCGCAACGCTGACTGGAAGGATGAGTACACCATCTTCACCGCTGGCCTCAAGGTACACACACACACACACTCTCTCTCTCTCTCTCTCTCTCTCTCTCTCTCTCTCTCTCTTTCTTTCTTTCTTGTACTGCTGGTAGATATAGGATGGTGGTGTTGGCACTGGTAGAGGGTGATGATAGGGGTGGTAACTCACCATCACCACCACCTATCTACATCATCACAAGATCACCATTGCCACTCACCACCAATCACCATCACTCACCAATCACCATCAACCACTACCACTCACTAGCCATATCATCTATTCCACATTCGTTACTGCCACAATTTATTTATCCGTCAATAATCCTTCGTTCATTTCCATCACGTTTAACACATTTATGGATAGTTATGTTATGTGTTTATATGTATATGTATTAAACACTTTATAATCACTAAATATTCTATTCTTTTTCAGTATAATGTTGAATATATTTCGATTTATTTTTTTTGTACTGTTGTAAATGTTTTATTAGGATATATTTTGTTTTATAGTCAATAGGTAACACAGCCTTAACAATATAATCGTCGCTGTTTATTGGTTGTATAGTTCAGTCACTCCACTAAAGTCCTGTCGCCTCTCCTCCTGAACCACGAACCCCGAGATTCAGAGTCATGAACCCGAAGCAGTAGACATTGATGCACCATTGTGTCCATAAATGCTTCGGATTCACGAGTCTGAATCTCGGGGTTCGTGGTTCAGGGGGAGAGTGTCGCCTTCTGTAGGTGGTGTGGCTATACATTACTACACTCAACTCAGTGTACAAGTATACTGAGACAAAGACTGAGGAAACTTGTCTTCATTATGGACACTACACACACGGAAACGGCATAGGAAACCCCGCCAATATATTCATGTAAATAATTGCGCTTATCGAGTACTGTGTTGTAGTGTTAATAATTAGTGCTGTAATTATGGTACAGTTTGTGGAATTCATAAATTGGTTTTTGTATCATTGTGTTACAGGTGTGTTGGGGGAGTAGAATGATGAGGCTGGAGTGATTTGGGTGATTTTGGAGGATGAGGGAGTGATTTTGGAGGATGAGGGAGCGATTTTGAAGGATGAGGGAGTGATTTTGGAGGATGGGGGAGTGATTTTGGAGGTTGAGGGTGATTTGGAGGATGAGGGAGTGATTTTGGAGGATGAGGGTGATTTGGAGGATGAGGGAGTGATTTTGGAGGATGAGGTGATTTGGAGGATGAGGGAGTGATTTTGGAGGTTGAGGGAGTGATTTTGGAGGTTGAGGGAGTGATTTTGGAGGATGAGGGAGTGATTTGGAGGATGAGGGAGTGATTTGGAGGATGAGGGAGTGATTTTGGAGGATGAGGGAGTGATTTTGGAGGTTGAGGGAGTGATTTGGGAGGATGAGGAGTGATTTTGGAGGATGAGGGAGTGATTTTGGAGGATGAGGGAGTGATTTTGGAGGATGAGAGTGATTTTGGAGGATGAGAGAGTGATTTTGGAGGATGAGAGTGATTTGGAGGCTGAAGGAATGATTTTGGAGGCTGATGATTTCACTCTCTCTGTATTAGTCCATTGGAGGGGTAGTGGGGGGTAGGAATATTTGAGGTAGAGGTGGAAGGTGTGTTGGGGAGGTAGGGGGAGGCTGTGGAGGTATTAAGAGGCCGCCTCAACCATTCTCCCTCGAGGTACGGCCCCAGAAGTTGGTTAATTATCTCCTATCTTCCCCAGGAGGAGGAGGAGGAGGAGGAGGGGTAAAATATGGGGAGGAGGAGGAGGAGAGGAGGGAGGAAAGAGAAAATGGGTAGTAGGGGTCGAGGTGGGAAGGAGGAGGACGGGAGAGGAAGAAGGGGAAAAGAGGAAGGAAAAGAGGATGGGAAGAAGGAAGGATAGGGAAGAAGGAAGAGGAAGAGATTGGTAGATTGTTGTTATAGTAAACGTCGTCTTAAATGAAACAGAATAAATGTGATCATGTTAACTCGTATTAAAAAGTTGTAACGATAACAACAAAGTTACTTTTAATTGACCTCCAAAAATTACACACACACACACACACACACACGTACACACACAACACACACACACACACACACACACACACGTACACACACACACACACACACACACACACACACATACACACACACACACACACACGTACACACACACACACACACACACACACACACACACACACACACACACACACACACACACACACACACACATACACACACACACACACACACACACACACACACACACACACACATACACACACACACACACACACACACACACACACACACACACACACACACACACACACACACACACACACACACACACGTACACACACACACACACACACACGTACACACACACACACACACACACTAACACACACACACACGTACACACACACACACACACACACACACACATTCACACACACACACACACACACACGTACACACACACACACACACACACACACACACACTCACACACCTCCACACACACACACCCACACACTCCACACACACACACACGCGTCACACACACACACACACACACACACACACACACACACACACACACACACACCTCCACACACACTCACACACACACATCCCCACACACTCACACACACACACACACACACACACACACACACACACACACACACACGCACACACACACCTACACACACACACACACACACACACACACACCTACACACACACACACACACACACCTGCACACACACACACACACACACACACACACACACACACACACACACACACGCACACACACACGTACACATTCTCTTTTGTCACCTACATCACTCTTCCTCCACCACCAACAATAGCACATCCTCCTCCTCCCCTCACTACTCCCCTCACTCCTCACCCTCACTCTCCCCTCCTCTCCTCCCCCTCCACTCCCTCTCCTCCCTCCTCCTCCCCTCCTCCTCCCCCCTCACTCTCCCCCTCACTCCCTCCCCTCCACTACTCCCCCTCCTCTCCCCTCCTCCTCCCCCTCCTCCTCCCCCCTCCTCCTCCCCTCCTCTCCCCTCCTCTCTCCTCCCCTCACTCTCCCCCTCCTCTCCCCCCTCCCCCTCCCCTCCCCCTCCTCCCCTCCTCCCTCCCTCCTTGGATCATCGTCATAAAGGCTAAATTATTCATCATCTATTCCCTGTAGTTATTTTTATCATCGTCTTCTTCTTCCTCCTCCTCCTCCTCCTCCTCCTCCTCCTCCTCCTCCTCCCTCCCTCCTCCTCTTCCACTTCCTCCTCTCCTCCTCCTCCAGGTTGCTGAATTTTTCTTCTCCTCCATTGAGTCGTCTTCCTCTTTCTCCTCTCAGCGTCTTATTCCCTCCTCCTCCTCCTCCTCAAGAGCTGTCCCTTCCTCCTCATTGTGACTCCTTCCTACCCTCCTCCGGGATGCTCTCGCCCTCCTCCTGTTACTTGATTCACCATTTTTCCTCCTTGGCACACTCCTTCCTCAGTCCCTCCTTCACTCTCATGGACTCCTTCTTACTTCTCCTCTTACTTCTTGTTCTGCTCTTCCTCCTCCTTCTTCCTTCTTTTCCTCTTACTTCCTCCTATTTCTCCTCCTGCTACTCCTTTTCCTTCCTCTTCTTTCATTCTCTTCCTCCTTCTCCACACTCCTTCTTTCTCCTTCGTTCCCATCCCCTGTTACTCCCCCTGAAGGAATAGGCTAATGGTGCCCAGGAGGGAAGGGAGGAAGGAAGGTAAGGAAGGAGTTAAGGAAGGAAGGAGGGAGGGAGTTAGAGAGGGGAGGAGGAAAGGAAGGAAGATAAGGAGGGAGTTAGGGGAGAGGGGAGGAGGAAAGGAAGGAAGGAGGGAGGAGTTAGGAAAGGGAGGAGGAAAGGAAGGAAGGAGGGAGGGAGTTAGAAAGGGAGGAAAGGGCGAAGGAGGGAGGGAGTTAGGAGAGGGAGGGAGGAAAGGAAGGAAGATAGGAGGGTAAGGAAGGAAATGTACTGCCGAAGATGAAAAGCCAATCAATTTGTAAGGTTTTTTATTTAGTTATATTCTTAATACATCGTCTCTCTCCTGACTGACTGGCTGATACAAGTACCGATCAAATTTCTTTATTATTATTATTATTATTATTATTATTATTATTATTATTATTTATATTTTTCTCTATCTTTCTTTCTTTCTTTCTTTCTTTATGGGAATTAAATTTTATCGGGATTTTTTTTCTAGATTAATTTTGTTTTGTTTTCTAAAGGGAAAAGTTTTGGGCGTATTTTGTTTTTGTTTCTCAAGTTTGTTCGAATTTTTATCAGGGAATAAATTTTTTCCTCGTTAATTTTACAAGTGTTTTTTTTTTTCCTGTTCGACGTGTTGCGGGTTCGATGATGTGGGTTCTATCTATTCTAGGGGTTCTATTCTTAGCTGGCTCAACTCACTGTTGGTTCGATTTTTTGCGAACTTGACTCTTTGCCGGTTCGATTCTTGGCCGGTTTGACTCTTCAGGTTCGGTTTTGCGGGTTCTATTCTCGGTTTGACTCTTCGGGTTCGGTTTTGCGGGTTCTATTCTCGGTTTGACTCTTCGGGTTCGGTTTTGCGGGTTCGACTCTGCAGTGCACGAGACGAAGACTATATTTTTGTTTGGTTGAGAGGAGTTGAGAAAGACTAATGGTTACGACTTTTTTTCAACTCTGTCGGTATTACTTGAGTTGATTAGATGAAGGGCTTCTGTTTTCTCCCTCTCCTTTAGGGAAGATGAAAAGGAAGAGGAGGAGGAGGAAGAGGAGGAGGAGGAAGAGGAGGAGGAGGAGGAAGATGAACACGGAATATGGGAGGAAGAGGAGGTCCAAGGGAAAGAGGGGAAGGATGAGGTTGGAGGAAGAGGAAGTTCAAGGATGAGGGGAGGGAAGAGGAGCCTGAAGGAAGAGAAGAGGAAGAGGGGAGGAGGAGGAGGAGGAGGAGGAGGAGGAGGGAGAGGAGGAGGAGGAGGTAGGAGGGAGATGATGTTGTTGTTGTTGTCTGCGGAGTTTTGTTGTCTATTCTAAAGATATATTTCGTTTATAGTTTCTTGTGATAGAGCAATGGATCACCTGAAGCATTCAACCAATTCTAGCTACTTCAGCTAGACATTAACTATCCTAATACTTCAACGATGGTTGCCATTGAGTGACACTGGTTGCTGGGTGGAGTGACGCTGGTTGCCATGTGTGGAGGACGTTGGTTGCCATAGTGACGCTAAGCTGCCAGTGGAGTGACCCTGGTTGCTATAGTGACACTGCTGCTGAAGTAGTGACGCTTGGTTGCCATGGAGTGACGCTGGTTGCTCTAGAGTGACACTGGTTGCCATGGAGTGGACGCTGGTTGCCATGGAGTGACGCTGGTTGCTATGGAGTGACGCTGGTTGCTGCGGAGTGACGCTGTTGCCATAGTGACGCTGGTTGCTGCGGAGTGACGTTGGTTGCCATAGTGACGCTGGTTGCTGGGCGGAGGACGCTGGTTGCTGCGGAGTGACGCTGGTTGCCTTGGAGTGACGATGGTTGCCATAGAGTGACACTGGTTGCCATGGAGTGACGCTGGTTGCCATGGAGTGACGCTGGTTGCCTTAGAGTGACGCTGGTTGCCATAGTGACGCTGGTTGCCATGGAGTGACGCTGGTTGCCATAGTGACACTGGTTGCCATAGTGACGCTGGTTGCCATGGAGTGACGCTGGTTGCCTTAGAGTGACACTGGTTGCCATGGAATGAGGCTGTTAGCGCTGGTATTGGTCGAGGGATCACTTGAAGAATAGACACCCCAGACACCTTCATATACTAGACTTTATTTATGTTTTCTTGACTTTATTTGTTTACTTGTCTTTGTTTACTCTTTTGTTTATGTATATGTTTACTTGGCTTTGTTTACTCAATTTTTTAGCGACACCTTTATTGTTTACAAATATTAAGGTCTACCAATTATTTTGCTATGGCACTCTTGAACATAATTAAAATCCACTGACCCATATTTCTAGTTATATATCAAAGACTGTCAGGTGAAAAAATATATAATATTGAAATATGGAGAAATTTTTTTTAAATATGAATGTTGATGTCAAACTTTTGTTCATCGTTAGAAAATGTTTTTGTTGAGAATTGAATTACACGGAAATAATTTCTTTTTTTTTTTGTTAACTACATAATTCTATCAATTGTTGTATTTTATTTTGAATTTTATAAGAGATTATGAACTATTGTAAATATCTTGTGTAGGTTGGTTATTATCCCCGCCACCGATGGATTGGACAGATGAAATAATGGCCTCTATACTTCAGTCTGTCTACTGTCCGTCCAACTCTCGCCTGCCCGCCTGTCCAATCTGCCGCCCATGATAACTTTTTTTTCCTATGCTGGAACTGTACCAAATGTGATTAGATTTTTACCAGATTTTATACAAAGCATTATGTCCTGAATCCCTTTGATGAGTTTGTGTTTCAGTGATTTACGATTATATTTCCAGCCTTCTGAACGCTAGAAAATGTGAGAATGTGGCTTCTACTATACCGGGAATCACTCCGTTCTTCCTTATCAATCCATATACCTGTTGTTGATAGTTATTGCCACTCGTTACCTTATCTCCTTTCTCTACAGGTGAACCAGAGGAACGCCAAGCTCTTCAACAACGTAGGCCACGCGCTTGAGTCCCAGGGGCGCTTCGCTGAGGCCCTCAAGTACTTCCAGGCCGCCGTCACCGTACAGGAGGACGATATTGGGGCACACATCAACGTGGGCAGAACCTACAACAACCTGAAGCTCTTCTCTGATGCCGAACAGGCCTACCTCAAGGTCAGAGACGCCCCTAGGTCCTGTACTGGCGGACCTAAGGAGTACACTTTGTTTATACTCGCCCTTAAATGGTCAGGGACACCTGGTAGGTCCTGTGGTGGAGGACCTAAATAAAACAAAAATATTTTCATATATGACCTGTGAATGTTGAAATGTGGTTGTTTTGGATCTGTTTTGGCATATTAAGGGTCACATTCTTACTCTTAGTTACCCCAGAGGACGTGTGGATGATGAGTTACACGATATTTAATAGTGGCACCCTGGCACCGTGCTTGTCATGAACTGGGTGCCAGGTGCTTACTGTTCCCTTGTCACGGAATATCTCTCTGTAGTGAACGAGAAGTAATGTTACACTAACCACTGGAGTGTTTGATAATTACTAATTCACGTGGAACTTGTCACTTGGTTATATTTAGTATAATGCTCCTTACGTGACGTGACGTGACGTGTCGTAGTACAGGGTGATCGAAACGTCCCTGTGCACCTGCAATAATTAATATGTTCTATGTTATACCTACTGTACATTAGTATATACCTTGATCTACTCACGGTAAATATTGTATCTCACTTCCAACATTTATTGAGACAATTTTCAATATTTACTGTAAATAGAACAAGATATATAACTAAAGTGATGTATATTGGCAATTACTGAAGATGCACAGGGACTTTTCGATCACCCTGTATAAAACCCAGTAATTGAACATACTTAATGATGGTGTAGCTCTACCGTAGAGTTATGTGTGCAGGACGGGTTGAGTGTTGACAGAGATGAAGTTTGCTTATATTCATCTATAAAGGTAAATATAACAGACATCTTTATAATTATGAATCTTGTGTAGCTCAGGAATTTGATGACTTGTTTGACAAATAGGTGAGAATTGACTTGAGAATTCTTGCATTACAGAGGGAATATCTTAGGATTTTTTTAATAGTTGTCCAGAAACTACGACATAGTGAACAATGCTTAATGGTTGAAGTACCTTAATGTTTTGTGTGTGTCTCTGGGATATGTAATTTATTATATTCAATAGTATAAAATAGTTATTAGTCAGTTTTGAATGTTGCTGAGAGTTTGGGATCACCTGAACATTACGTCCACCAGTTATTTGGAAGGTTAGGTTAGCGTTAGGTTATGTCATGTTAGAGTTGGTTAGGTTAGGTTAGGTTAGGTAGGTTTGCTTAGGCTAGCGTTAGGATGGTTAATCTTCAGGTCAGCCTTGGTTTGTGAAGGCGGAAGTGAACGTTTTATCTTTTTCTTCCAGGCCAAGTCTCTGCTGCCCAAGGCCAAGCCCGGGGAGAGCTACCAGGCGAGGATAGCGCCCAACCACCTCAACGTGTTCCTCAACCTGGCCAACCTCATCGCCAGGAATGAGACGCGTCTGGAGGAGGCAGACGCCCTCTACCGCCAGGCCATCAGTATGAGGGCTGACTATACCCAGGCTTACATCAACCGCGGCGACATACTCATCAAGATGAATCGGTGAGTACCCCAGACTCATACTCATACAGACGTCTAGTAGGTGAAGGGAAGTAATTCTTCTCAAATTTGTTTTTCCTTTTAAGTTAAATGTCAGTTGTGTGAATGATCGCATCATTCACACACCAGAAAGACGGTGAACAGACCAACAACTTTATTATGAAAAGATTCTACAGAATATAACCTTCTCCGAGGAATGTGACGTAACTTTATTATGATGAATGATTTATCAAGGGTTTTTTTTATCCTCAAACTTGGTTGGTTTCCCTTCTATTTTGTCCCTTTTTTTCTGGATGCTCCTTACATTCACCGACACAACTCTCGCGGTTATGTATAGGTAACATCTGTTGAAAACTAAGATGTTGTGAAAGAAAACGCGTGTGTGCGTGTGCGTGTGTGTGTGCGCGTGTGTGCGTGCGTGCGTGCGTGTGTGTGCGTGCGTGTGGGGGGGGTGAGAACGGCGGAGATTTTTGTTGTAGTGTAGAAGTACCGATGAGGACTGGTCCCCTGGTGTCCGGTGACCCCGCGGTGTGTAAATAATAGATGTGCAATACTGGCCGAGGCTGCCCTGCCGCAACAAGTGGGGCCCCAAGCCTGCTGGTACTGGTGCTGGTGGTAGGGATGGTGGTAGGGATGGTGGTAGGGATGGTGGTGTTGGGGGTTGCCGGTGATGGTGGTGTTGGGGGGGTGGAGGTGGTGGGGCAGATAGTTGTGGTTGATGACGTTGTTGTAGTATCGTTAACTGACGTACCTCAGCTGAAGTCTTATAATTATTCTTGAATATTTAAGACACCGCAACCATGACAACGTCACCACCACTACACGTCGTCATCACCACACGTCAGCACCGCCAAGACACGTAACACAACACCACATTCCACCACCACACGTCACCACAACACCACATTCCACCACCATCACCACGAGACCACGCACCCTCATTATTCAAGGGTCACAGAGCATTAACTAGCACATCCACCATCCTACACAACCTCGCAATGTGCACCGTACATCATCATTAAAGTACTTGTGACCACCACCACCACCACAACGCCGCCAACGCCGCCACCCACCACCACACACCGCCGCCACAACGCCACCACCACAACACCACTACCACAACGCCGCCACACACCACCACCACAACGCCGCCACACACCGCCACACACCACCACAACACCACTACCACAACACACCACCACAACGCCGCCACCACCACCACACACACACCACCCACCACCACACACCACCACCACCACCACAACCACCACCACCACACACCACCACCACCACCACACCACACCACCACCACACCACCACACAACACCACTACCACAACCACACACCACCACCACCACCACACACACCACACACCACCACACACACCACCACCACACCACCCACACCCCACCACCACAACGCCGCCACACCACCACCACAACGCCGCCACACACCACACCACACACCACCACAACGCCACACCACCACCACACAACACCACAACGCCGCCACACGCCACCACAACGCCGCCACACACACACTCCACACACCACCACCCAACACCACCACCACCACACGCCACCACAACGCCGCCACACACCACCACAACGCCGCACACACACCACCACACACCACCACACACCACCACACACCACCACCACCACCACCACACCGCCGCCACCCACCACCACAACGCCGCCACCCACCACCACACAACGCCGCCGCCACCCACCACCACAACGCCGCCGCCGCACCCATCACCACCACACACCGCCACAGCGCCGCCACACACCACCACACCACCTCCACTCACCACCACCACCACACCACAGCTCGACAGCCTCACTGCCAATATTGCCACACATGTAATAACCCTCGGGGAGTTTCCGCTGGATAAAATGAGTCATTTTTAACACCCTGATTTAATAAACCTGTTCCGTGCCTTTTATTATTACAGTGACGGCCAAGCTTATACGGCCCTCAACCCCAGGTCTCACTCTCACAGCCCTCACACTGACTCTTACAGCCCTCACACTGACTCTTACAGCCCTCACACTGATTCTTACAGCCCTCACACTGACTCTTAAGCCCTCACACTGACTCTTAGTCCTCACACTGATTCTTACAGCCCTCACACTGATTCTTACAGCCCTCACACTGATTCTTACAACCCTCACACTGACTCTTTCAGTCCTCACACTGACTCACGCCCTCACACTGATTCTCACAGCCCTCACACTGACTCACAGCCCTCACACACTGCTCTTACAGCCCTCACACTGACTCTTACAGCCCTCACACTGATTCTTACAGCCCTCACACTGACTCTTACAGCCCTCACACTGATTCTTACAGCCCTCACACTGACTCATAACATAGTAACATTAATTTATTGTGGGTCTACATACAGAAAATAAGACCATTTCTTTGTGATTCGTTCGTTATAAATGTTATTTCAGTGAACGGAAAAGTGTTCTAGTGTGTGCATTAGAAGCCCAGGCAAAAATCCTTCGAACTAAAAGGGAGAAAGTAAAATTTAATTCAATTTTTCGTTTGAAGGAAAAAACCCACTTCACTGAGCGATAAACTGAAGGATGAAAGTTGTCAAATTGTTAAGTCCATTGAACGAAAGAAAACGGATCCTTTAACTTACTGTTGTCATGACCTACATCACTGTTGCCATGCTCCGATCTACCATTACCATCCCCCGCCCACTGTTGCCATGCTCCACTCCCCTACCAGCTAATTCTTCCTCCTCCCTCCTCCTCTCCTCCTGCTTCTCCTCCATCCTCTCCTCCTCCTCCTCCATCCTCTCCTCCTCCATCCTCTCCTCCTCCATCCTCTCCTCCTCCTCCTCCATCCTCTCCTCCTCCATCCTCTCCTCCTCCATCCTCTTCCTCCTCCATCCTCTTCCACCCTCTCCTCCTCCATCCTCTCCTCCTCCTCCTCCATCCTCTCCTCCTCCATCCTCTTCTCCTCCCCTCCTCCATCCTCTTCCTCCTCCATCCTCTTCCTCCTCCTCCATCTCTCCTCCTCCTCCTCCTCCTCCTCCATCCTCTCCTCCTCCTCCATCCTATCTTCCCCTCCTTCTCACCACTGGGAGTTACACGTTTCCCTTTCATACCATCATTAGCGTCTCGACACAGTACATTGGAGAGGGTAAATATTTGAACACGCGGTGAATCCCTACTACTCCAGGTGTTGTGAGGCGGGGAGATGCCAGGGAGGGGTGTCAGAAGGAGGGCGTAAAGGGAGGGGTGTCAGAGTGAAGAGTCCTAAGGAACGCTAGAGGTAGGGTAGCGTAAGGGAAGTGATGGTAAAGTGCCTGGAGAAGGAAGGAGGAAGAGAATGAATGGGAAATGAGGAAGGTTGAAGGTATGAGATAAGGAAACGTCGAAGGAAGAAGGAGGTGCCATTCAGGAGGAAGGGAGGGGAAGGGAGGGAGAGGAGGAGAGGAGGAGGAGAATTGCCTAACGTTGATGAGGGGGAAAGGAGAGGGAGTGAAAGGGGTAGTGAGTGAAGGGAGGGTAGAGAGGAGGTGTGTGTGTGTGTGTGTGTGAGCTCCTATAGAAATACTTACAGAGGAAGATAGTTTATATGGTGCCTCAGGTCTTGTAGTGGATGTTGACGGATGTTTTGTACAGGTGTAGTTTGCGTAGTGGATTAAATTATACGGGTGAAGGATTTCTTTGTGGATGATAGAGGGGTTCTTTATGGTGAGGTGGTTCTTTATGGTGAGGTGGTTCTTTATGGTGAGGTGGTTCTTTATGGTGAGGTGGTTCTTTATGGTGAGGGTTCTTTATGGTGAGGGGTTCTTTATGGTGAGGTGGTTCTTTATGGTGAGGGTTCTTTATGGTGAGGGTTCTTTATGGTGAGGGTTCTTTATGGTGAGGTTCTTTATGGTGAGGGTTCTTTATGGTGAGGGTTCTTTATGGTGAGGGTTCTATGGTGGTGGTTCTTTATGGTGAGGGTTCTTTATGGTGAGGTGGTTCTTTATGGTGAGGGTTCTTTATGGTGAGGTGGTTCTTTATGGTGAGGGTTCTTTATGGTGAGGTGGTTCTTTATGGTGAGGGTTCTTTCTTACCTCCTCAAGACTTTGATAGTTTTCTTGTAGGATCTTCAGGGTTATTTTAAAGGTTACTGAGGAGAATTTTACCTATATCTGTGTGAAGTCTCTCTCTCTCTCTCTCTCTCTCTCTCTCTCTCTCTCTCTCTCTCTCTCTGTTCTCATTCCTCATTTCCTACAATTTCCTTAAATAGGACAAGACACAGTGTATATAGTACCTTTGGCTCTTGATGTACAGTAAGTATAGAGTCGTGCTGATGTAAACTAATAAGATCAGAGGACATGGGTATTGTATAACCAAGAAGATACGACCTTTCCTATGTGCAGTTACGACCTTTTCTATGTACAGTTACGACCTTTCCTATGTGCAGATACGCTTTTCTATACGCAGATACGACCTTTCCTATATTGCAGATACGACCTCGTCTTTACGCAGATACGACCTCGTCTTTACGCAGATACTAAGACCCATTCCAAGGACAAACACTGAAGACATATATTGACTCCTTACATATACACACCGTCGCTCTCTTCCTGTAGCTGCCAAATCCATGCTACGGACTCGGCTGCTTCAAGGCAATCACGGTCACAGCCCTCTAATGGTAGCCACGGTCACAGCCCCTCTAATAGTAGCCACGGACACATCCCTCTAATGGTAGCCACGGACAGCCCTCTAATGGTAGCTATGGGCTGCCCCTTAAAGGTAGCCCTTTCCTTAACCCACCTTTTGTCAAATTAAGACTCCAGTTCTCCCCTCCGCAGTCCCCTTTTCCTTCAACCTCTTTCATCAACCTCCCACTCAGCCCCTCAACCTCCTTCCCTCAGTTCCTCTCCTTAACCTCCTCTCTTAGCCCTCCTCCACAACCCCATTCCCTCAGCCCTCACTCCTGAACCCCTCACTCTCTCAATCCCACCTCCTTCACCACCGACCCCTGTG